AGTTAAGCGTTTACCCATGCGCGCTTCCGATAGTGAAGAAAGTAACAGAGAATGTTATTGAAAACGAAAAAATTTTGATTGACTAGTTAGTCGGTATTCTCGACACAGCAATTACAGGACTTAAACAGTGGAACTTTGTAACTGAACAAGAAATTATGTCTGTTTATAGAATTAAAGAGAAAGTATTAGCACAAAAAATGAAGCAACTTAAACAATTTACATGCTAGAAATGTTTACTAAAGTAAACAAATACGTATTGAGCTTTTTTTTTTTTTTTTTTTGTAAATTTTGATATCCTTTAGATCAATTTATGATTTTCATTTAGCAAGCATAATTGCTCTTTATTTCATAAATTACGGTTTCATATTTTGAATTGTATAATTTCTGCATGCCATCTTACCAGATTTAAATTGATGATCTATAATCTGGAAAAAGCCCTAATCCGGAATCGCCGAAGTCCCGACGAGTCTGGATTACGGACTTTGTACTGTACTAATGTATGATACTGAAAGGTCAAAGGGGATTAAATATAGCTACTGCATGAATGATGTAAATCCAACTTGTAATGAAGTAGTTTTTTTCTGATGTTAAAGCCAAATTAAATGTACATATTTTTATTTTGAGGTCAAACATAGTAGTTCTCATCAAGGTGTTGGGTTACATTGAGAGATTATCACAAACGAAAAATTAAAAATCTGCAAGGTTTCCCTTTTCAGCCTGGCTAGATATATAACTAATATTAAAGTTGGAATGTATATTGCATATTTCAGAAACTATACGTTCTTTTACGGTATGTGTTTAATTAAGCTTTAGTTTTTTAATATTATGTTGATTATTTGTTTTGTTTTTTACTGTCCTCAATGTAGTTCTTGTTTATGTTTATCCTTGGTACTTAGTCCAGCATTGTGAAAAAAAGTATTAGTGCTAATAATTATTAGTTAGTTTTATTATTAAGACTTGCTGTTGTACGAGGAATTGGAGTTCTGAAAACCTCCCATCCCCGGGGAGGGGAGGAGCTGTGACATTCAGACATATGCACCCCTCGGACTTCAGGTGCTTAATGAGAGATATCTTTTCTCACCGACAGAATGGACAGCAGACCTTTGGAAGAAAGGTGCAGCGGAAACCCCCCTGGTGTGGTTTCCGGATGTAAGGGACTAATTATTCTTTTCCAGGTTTTAACAAAACGAGGAGAGAGCTTTGTGTAAAAAGCTTTTGATGCTGTAAATGAGTGAAAGCAGATGCATTTTAGTGTTGTCGCCGCGCCAGTGGCCTTTGTATGAATTATGGCTGAAAAGATTCAATTAGTTTAATATTTATTCAAGAATTTCTTATTAAGTTTTCAAAATAAATATTTTAAAAGACAACCTGTCTTTTCTTGCACCCAACACAGGTGTTCTGACATTACACTATCCAGAGATCTCACGATACAGCCTAATGTATTCCATATGATTATGCTCATTTTCACTAGGAAAGAGAAAGCATGTTTCTCAATCCCCTACATCTCTATTAGGAATTGAAAATAATTTGACACTTGATCGATCATATTGGCTGATTGGTTTTTTTTGCAACATTTTTTGTGATGCCAAGGATATTTTACTGGATAAAACATCTACAGTGATTACCAACCAGTAAATACCAACAATTTACTTAAACAAATTATCAAATAACAGCAATGGAAAACTTTAGGAGTTTATTTCTCCTTAAAAGTTTGGTGAATTTTGGGCACGATTAATGAAAAATTATGGTAAATCTGTTATATATGGGATTATTTATGGTAATCCTGAAGCTGGTTCGTGATTTCAGTTCAGTAACCCTTTTATTTTTCTTGTGCAATGTATGTGAGATCGCTATTTTGGTCTCGGTTCATATTTTAAGTATGCTTTTATAGGTTAAGTAATTTTTAAGGGTTGTATTTCAAATAAGTTTTTACTATTACTTCTATTGCTTTTAGTATGCCTTCCATTTTAAGTGTAATAATTTAAGTGTTCCAGGATTTGTTAGTAAAGTTAATTGGACTTATACCAATAATAGGACAAATTTGATAAAGCAGGGTTTTCCAAATAGGAATTTTGCTCCCCTCATTTTTTTGAGTTGAACATCTTTGTAATTAGTCTTAACTCTATATCATTAAAAATAGCTTTTGAGGAATTTCATAATGTTATTTTTGGTTTTCGCATTACAAATGAATGAATGAAAATAATAATTAATTAATAAATTTAAAGATTTATCATTGAAGCCATTTAACCAGAAAGCAGGTTATTTCAGAAAGTACCAGAAACTAGAAACCAGGTTAACCAGAAAGCAAGTCAAAATTTATTTCGACTTAATAAAATGATAAAATATGCAAACAAACGTAATTTCAAGACATCAAAAACACATTAAGGTATTCTATTTATTATAATAACAATCATAAATGCATTTTATATTGATAAATGCCATGTGTCTTATTATTCACGCAGGCTTTTATCTGTGTGTGCTTTCACCTGCATGGGTATTTGTCACATGGGCAGTTTTTGCAATGGTGTTATTTTTGTTGGTGTTGTATTAGTGTCCAGTGGCCTTTTATTTGGTCATGCTTTTATAGCTATGTAACAGAATTATTGTAATGGGATGATTTGAGAGTTAGATAAATGTTAACAATGGGATGTTTTAATTGGAAAGGTTTTAATGCTATGATTCACAAGATGATATAATGAAGACAGATTTGATGAACACAACACATTAATTTATTCGTGAATAAGCATGAACGTATTTACATATTATTTTAGATGCTTATCGCTCACTTCGAGCTTTTATATGATTTATTATAACTTTAAATAATGGACAGGGAGTGGAGAGATGAGCAGCACATTTTAGAAGAGCAAAAGCAAAACCAAAAAGGGAGGAAAGTAAGTGCGCATTCAAGGAAGTGGTTAAAACGTTCTTAAACATGATTGGTGCAAACAATATCCACAATGCTGTGCTTACATGGATGGCATAATGCAGATTAATTTTCAAATGATGCACTTTCAAAAAAGCTATTACAATTTTTAGAATAGAAATGGGGAACTGCCCAATTTAAAAAGAGGAGTTAAGAGACTATTGCTGATTTAATGTATAATGCAAAGTTACATTTTTTTTTTTTTATCTTGCATAAATATATGTGGAAATTGACAAAAAAATAAATAATCTGCTTAGCAATAAATCAAAGCAATATATAGTTTGATTATATTTCGAGTTATTAGGAATGCTTTCTTAGCATTGGCAACAGAAATTAAAATTCAAAGCTAGATTCAATAGTTTTCTATTAGCATCTTGTATTTTTGTATTTTGTCTGCGGGATATATATTTAGTGGTGTTCTGGTCCATTTAGTGGTTAAAATGTCTTTCTAAATCAAGAAGCCTCATAGATTTAACTTTTGACATCCACATGGACTCTACAAATTATCAGAAGTGGGATGGAGTCTACAAATTATCAGAAGCAGGATTCCCAAGCAAGAATATATTCATTTATTTCTTTCAATTAAAGCAGATGATCTCGATCTTCACAATAAATGAATGCCAGATCACAACATGAATGACGTGGAAAAGTAAAGAAACGAAAACTGCTATTGAAATTACAAGTAAGAAAAATGGCTGAAGCAATAAATTGTACTTCAATGTTTTGATTATGCAGAAGCTTTGATTGATATATTAAATGCAATTAAATGCAATGTTTGATTAAATAAAAAATTAAACTTTTTATTTAAGTACATTTTGTCCATTAACTTCATAAAATACTTGCTAAAACAGAAGGTATTCTGATTGTGAAAAATTAGTTATGAGTATTTTCAATAAGAACTATTAAAATAGTTTACCATGCAATATTCAAAAATGGTGATCATAACATTAAAAAGTAAATTACATAATTTTAGTGGATTTGGTTAATACAGAAAATTCTAAAGATGTTAGAATAATATTGAAATAGCCACAGCATATAGATGTAAATTATTGTGAAGTTCCTGGAAAGTATAAAAATGTAGACTATTCTGAAATACAGAATCTTAAAATGGTTCTGAAACATAGACTTGAGATTTCTTAGGTACTGAATATGTTCTATTTGAGCTGAAATATGAATAATAAAAATGAAGCCGGTATAGTTGATACTAATAACGATGAAGATGGAGATTCTATGAATGACAATGACTGTTAAACTAGAGATTATACAAATGATAATAATGATGGGGTGAAGATTATACGGATAATAATGATGATGAGATGAAGATTATACGGATAATAATGATGATGAGATGAAGATTATACGAATAATGATGAAATGAAAATTATATGAATGTTAATGATGATGAGATAGAGATTATATAAATGATAAGGATGGGGAGATGAATAGTATATGAATGAAGATGATGATAATATTGTTGGATACCGATCTTGATGAAGACAGTATGGATGCAGATGACAACAAAGCGAAGAACTAAGTTGAAGATGTCGGTGAAAAGTTTGCTGTTTCTGCTGCGTGAAGTTGTTACGCAGTTTGTAGAAAAAGCCGAATCTTTCAAGACAAAAGATTCATCAAGATGGCCGAATGTAGAAACAAAAAATTAAATAATCAGCTTAGCAGTAAATCAAAGCAATATATAATTTGATCATAGAGTTATTAGGAATGCTTTCTTAGAGTTGGCAACAAGGATTAAAATTCGTTTCCTATTAGTATCTTGTATTTTGTGTGCTGTATATGTATTTGGTGCGCATTAAAATGTCTCTCTAAATCAAGAAGCCCCATAGATTTAACTTCTGCAACCCACATTTACTGTGCATAATATATACATATATTTGCTAAGTAATATATATTCTAGTTAGATTTTATGTGTACGTTATGCAATTTCAAGAAATCCTTGTGTTTTATTGTAAAAAAAAATTGAATAAAATAGTGATTTAACATTAAGTGGTTTAAAGTTGATTGAAAACTGCTGACGCATACATTTGTGGCTTTTAGTAAATTTTATTTAATTTGTTTTTAG